ACGATCGAAGTTGTAATGAATGCAGCAATGAATACAGCAACTTTTTCCGCAAACAGCTAAAGGCGCCTCAACAATCAAGGTGGAAACAGCAGACCCCGAAGCCAAAAGCCTCGGAGCCAAAGTTCCCAAAAGTTTATTCGTTTAAAGAGGATGAAGTTCCCGGTATCTTCAAGTACCTCATTGAGAATAACAAGATCAAATTGCCTCCAGTCCAGGATCAGGAAGATGCTAAGAGAATCAATGATCCAAAATACTGCGCATTTCATAGAGCGGTGCACCATCCTACCAAGGCGTGCTATGCCCTTAAGGACAAGATCCAAGCTCTAATCGATGTCGGGGTCATCACCATGAAGCAGCCAAAGGAGAAGAAAGTGGGAGCAAATGCAGTATCAATTAGTTTCGGTTCTGCTCCCTTGAACTGGTTCTAGCTTGAGCCAGTAATAAAGGCAGCAGTGAAGACGGTGAACGATGATCTTCACAAGCAGCGCGAGAAAGGACTTGTGCCACACACAGCCCCTAATGGTGAGATTCTTTGGGTTCATCCAGATTTGATCGGAGATGAACAATGGACTGGAACCTCTTCCAAGAAAAAGTCAAAAGGAAAAGGTAAGTCTTGTTATGGAGCTTCTGCTATTCCCGGAGAAGATGACGAAGAAATTCCCGTCTTCCCGCTTTTTGAAGATGAACAGGAGGCCTTTGCAACCCGAAGTGGGAATGAGTATCACTACAAGTACCCTGATGCTTCCGAGCAATTAGGCACCAAAACCGCTCCTTCCAAGACATTGGCAGAACTGGGAATAGCAGCAATTCCCCCAACGCCTGTAACTACGGAGAAAGTCCAGCAGAAGGAGAAAGGGAAAGAACCTTTACGCCAAGAGGCCCAAAACCCGAGGCAGTCTCGATTCAATCATCCGATTGGGAGAGACAAACCGGGAAATCCATTTTGACATCATGGCGCAGTTAGCCAATATCCCGGCTAGGATAACCGTATACGAGCTGCTGCGTCTTTCCAAAGATACAAGGAAAGCCTTACAAGAGGCCTTGAGCGACTCTGAGGCTTTCTTAACTCGAATCAAGCCATCTCCTGAAGGACCAGAGCCGTCAGCTCAACACTGCAATCTCGCGGCGCATCATTTTCCATGCATCTCTTTTACCAAAGAAGACATGCAGACGAAGAACTCAAAGCATGATCGGCCTTTGTATTTCACAGGGCACATTGGCTCCAGCATGGTCAACCGGATCCAAGTTGATCCGGGTTCTGCTGTTAGCATCATGCCATTCCGACTGATGCATCATCTCGGAATACCAACGAGCAAGCTAGCGTCCACGGGCACTACAATCTACGGATTCAACACTAGCGGGTCTAGACCCTTGGGGAAGATTCGAATCAAATGCCAGATAGGGGATTTAAAATCAGAAGTTACTTGCTATGTGATTGACGCAGAAACGTCCTATAACTTACTGTTGGGTCGACCTTGGATCCACGGTAACCTTATAGTCCCATCAACTTTGCAGATATGCATTCTCTTGCACCCATCTGCCGAGATAGTCCCGACTTGTGGAGAGCGAGAGTTCCATTGATTTGTTGGGAGATCGTGGAGATGCATGTCCCTGACCGTGTGCTACGACAGTTTACGCTCTCTCAGCATGTACCAGATCCTGTTGAGCAGATCTCTCGTCGGCGGCGACCTACTTCGCACCATACCGATTGGGTCGTAGTCCGTGCGGCCTACATAGATAGGTGTGCTCACAGGTAGGATTTCATCCAGGATATGAGGCCCACAACTGTTGACTATACCGCGTATATGGATTGGTATTGGGTATCACACGTAGATGGATCACACGTGACCCACAGCCCTTAGCTGGACACATGCCACGGCCACCGACAGACAGTTACATCCCTAGTGGGATGAACGAGAGAGATTACGTAAGTTTCTAAGCTAAATTATAATATTTTTTTCTTGAGTTGGTACTTAATAAATTATTTACCTCACAGGTCCATGCTTTTGATAGCATTCAGGCTGATATTGATGCGACCGTGCCTGAGATTCAGGATCAGGTGGCGTTAGGGCTCCTCGGCAGGATCAAGAAGACCATAGCACAGGTGTTTCATAAGACTCACGTCGACGAGTTCGCAGGCCGTGAGGACAGGTCTCGATCATTTGGGCAAGCGTACACTCGGCGCCGACGGCCACGTGACGATGACGGCGGCACTTCGCATGCTGATGGAGCCGGCACTTCGCATGCTGATGGAGCCGGCACTTCACATGCTGATGGAGCCGGCACTTCGCAGCCTCACACACAGCCGGATACTCAGATAGTCGAGGCTCATCAGCGCGGGGGGCGGGGAAGAGCGAGGGGGAGGGGGAAGAGAGGGAGAGGAAGGAGAGGAGCTATATTGGGTTGTATTTGAACTTATTTTGTTAAAATTTGTAAATTGTATGAATTTTTAAATACTATACTTTTATGGATCAATTATAGCTCGATATGTGATCTTTTTGCGTATTGTTTGATTCGTGCGTGTTTAAATAATATATATATTGCAGTAATTATTGTCAACAGGTAAATAGGTGTATATATGAGTTAAATAGGTAGACGTATGCATGCTGTGCATGTTTTTTGCAAAACCTGCAACTTCACGGGAGTTGAACTCCCGTGAAGATGCAGGGTAAAATCTTCCGCGACTCGCTCGCTGGAAAATATGGACTGCAGCTTCACGGGAGTTCAACTCCCGTGAAGCTGCGGGGTAAAATCCTCCGCTGGAAAATATGGACTGCATCTTCACGGGAGTTGAACTCCCGTGAAGTTGCAGGCTAATTTCCGAGGTTATTGGGGGAATTAAACTTCACGGGAGTTCAACTCCCGTGAAGTTTAATTTCTTCGTAAAGTTTTTTATCGAAACCGACCTGGTTTCAGCGACAGTGCTGAAACCAGGTCGGTTTCTCTAATTAAATGTGAAAGGGGTTGTTTTTTGCAATAAAAACGTCAAATGGGTTGGTTTCGAAAATTTGTCCAGCATCAACCAAAATTTACTTTGATCCGAGATCCAAGTAAAACATCAGAACAGAGTCTTTTGAATCTTGAACTTCCTTTTCTTTTTACTTTGATCCGAGATCCAAGTAAAACATCAGAACAGAGTCTTTTGAATCTTGAACTTCCTTTTCTTTATTTGATAGATTATTCAGGGCCCTAATCCTTCATAAATGTGATGCTATAACCACTTGTAGTTTACTAGCAGCAACCAAAATTTGTAAAATAGTCCGTTTTTGCTAACTATTTAGCAAAATAGACCGTTTTGCTAAATAATTAGCAAAATAGACCTCTTTTGAAAAAAAAGAGGTCGATTTTGAAAAACAAGACTCAGAAAACATACGGGACTACTAGTCCCGTATGTTTAGAGCCAACTTAATCGCGGATTAGTGACTCAGAAAACATACGGGACTAGTAGTCCCGTATGTTTTCTAAGTTCATTTCAATGTTTTGTGAAATTTTCTAAGTTCACTAATCCGTGATTAAAACATACAGGACTACTAGTCCCGTATGTTTTCTGAGCTGTTTTGCAAAATAGACCACTTTTTGACCTGTTGCCCAAAAAGATGTCTATTTTGCTAATTATTTAGCAAAACGGTCTATTTTGCTAAATAATTAGCAAAAACGGACTATTTTACAAAATTTCCCTTTTTTTCTAAGAGCAGGATATAGTTACTTTCTTGAGCCTTCCCCACCGAAAAAAAAAGTATTCATAAGAATCTTTTCAACTGTGACACTAGCGACAAAATTTAATGCGGGAAATAATGTTCAAATCTCTCGGAAATCTTTGCGTAGTTTGACGTAAATGGGTGAGGCTGCGTAGGTGAAAACTGAGTCTGTGATGCTCCTCCTGTGGGGGGATCTTGTTTCTTAGGTACGCCTAAGCGAGACCTGCACAGATTCTCAATGGTAATGAAATATATTGTTCATTTACCCAAAAAGTATTTTCAATGCAAATTCACCATTTGACTGATAAACAATGAGGTACAAGAGCTGTTAAAAATTTGAATGATTTTTGACAGGTGTCATCAGTTTTTTCCTCTTAATTTTCTTTTGGGAAGATGCACCATTCTGCAGTGCTTCTCCCTGTAAACTACAACTTCATTATATTTCCAAAGTATAATGTTGTTCAATGAATCTGACTACAGTGTTTGTTTATGCAGTTCTATTTCCCTAAACCAAACAGCTGCTAAGAAAAACATTAACCTTTTCCAAACAGTGTTGTGTTTGGATATGCGTCCAACGTACCAATTGTTTGTATAATAAGCGTGTACATAAATGGGAATCCTCGAACCAGTGTTACGTTCATATACGTGTCAAATATATTGTTTGTATAATAAGTATTGTACATAAATGGGAATCCCCCGTCTCCAACAATGTACATAGCTGATATACTATAATGAAATCTTCGATGAGACTTGTCTAACAATCATGCATTATTACTAGATTTGATGACCCAAATACGAAATTGGCTTCGCCAAAAAGGTCTCATCTTCAAAGTCGGGAAGCCAAGCATCCCTCTTATTTTAGGGAGTTCTCCCATAAGACTATTGTCAACATGCTTGGAATTTCCACCTGTACAATAGCAAACCAAACAATATCATATCATATTATCTGGCAAACACAATCCATCTTGAGATTAAATATATAATAAAGAAAAGGACAATATGCTTCATAGATACATAAGCTTCATAAGAGTAGCATACAAATTACAATCCACAAGGAGCTCGAATATTGTTCAACAACTACTGCGACATTTGCACCGGAAATATTTCTTCAAGAATCTTCTTGAAAACAACACACAGCAAGTGAAATATTGCAAGAAATAATCATCTTCGTCATGCAGAAACTTGGGGGGGCATAAGAGTAATCTCCACATTGTCATGCACCCCTTGAAGTAGTAGCTCACCATCATAGTGAACTATCTTCCTCTTTTTGGCTGCCCTCAGGGTGCCAACTAATGCTTCAAAGATGTTCGCACACCTATCATCATTGAAAAGCACCCCGAATTTCACCTGTAAAATGTACAAAAAGGAAATGTAGATGAAACATAAGCTAATTATCACAATCTATAAACTACTTATTTATATATAGCAGTTAGATGCACTTTGGAACGATGAAATAAATACAGCACAGGGCAGAATAGCTGGAGATGTCTGTGCAAGGAAAAGTAAAAGCGTAAAAGAACATGCCAGAACTACTTAGGCTGCAAATATAATTAGCAGACTTAGTAGAGGTCACTTTTGATGACAATAATACATAAGATCAATCTACAACATATATAAAGAATAGAGTGAAGAAATGTTGTTAACATTATTTACATATTGTATTGATACAAAAAAAAACAGACAACAAATAATTTACACCACCACCTCCATAAAGCTTTATCCTGTTCCTGATTGAAATTCTCATAACTTTTTTCGAGAAAAATACTCATAGTACTGGTGTTAGTAGTTGCCTGACAATTGATGAAGCAAACACAATGATAGCAGTCTACCTCATAAAGGACTTGTTAAATTCTAAAGCTAAACCTTCATTAGAATATTACTAAAGTAAACCATTCTCTGTAGGCAACGAAACAACTTTATGAAAAAATTTTCTATGGCTACTGAACTTCTTCCCCATTCCGCTCTATTAAGCACCCCTTAAGGTAAGTCCACAACCACCACATTTCTTTTACTTGTCCTGTTCATCCACTTACATGTAGTACTCATTGTTGCATTAACTATGATCATGTCGCTCATCTAAATCATGTCCAAACCATCTCAATTGGCTCTCCCTCATTAAGGATGTAATTCTCCATAGCAGTGAGTAATATATTTAACAAAATGGAGTCCCTCATGCTTCTGGCGCTGTGCATTGAGGTAAACTTAAAACTGGCTAATACAAGTTGACTGAGAACATGCATTCTCCTTTGCTTGGGAAGCTATTGGGCATGTGCAACATACATATCTCACACATCGACAACCAGGGTTTCGTACCTTGAACTCCAAAAGAAAATAGCTAATACAAGTAGACTGATAACATGCTCATGTCTTTACACCCCTATAATGCTATAAGACTCTTCCAAAGCAAGTATCGTGCACATCAACAGCGTGCTTATGTCTCTTGACATCCTAACAATGGATCCTATACAAATTTGAACTTTTGTCGGGATTGAGAGTTTTAACTTTTACAAATTCTCAATTATCTTCTTAGGAGACAAGAACATCAACACAATGTTGATCAAGCAGCAATAGCACCAGTTATCAAGAGTAACGGTACAACCAGGAGAGAATTCTCTCACTCACACCCTCTACAACCTGCAAAGTCAAACCCTTCTTCCGCCAAACAACCCACAATATATAGAACCTCAGATCGCGAAGAACAATTATAGACGAAAATATGTAGACCCAAGACGCTTCTTGTACGACTTCTTGCAACTCACGCCACCCCTTCTCCCCTTTCATAACGTCGAAGCCAGACACTTGGGGAGTGTTTCGCAACTCCTCCACTAACCAGGTTAGAATTGGCCCCACCCTCTACCTGGTTCAAAACTAACCTTAACCAGGTTAGTGAAGAATGGCGAAACACAGTCTTAGTGCATTCATTACCTAATCAATTCTCCATTTTCCAAGGCAACTTTCTAACTTCATTTAAGCCTCTACTAGGTCCAAGGTTACTTCCAAGCCCCCTCGTCATGATTCAGTATTAATTTTCCCGACACTTGAGATCCGCCGGGTGACCGAACCGAGACTCACTGCGGAGGCGCGGACCACCCTCCCAATTTCTGTATGGAGATCAAACCCATGATGGATCTTTTTCTTTCTTTTTTCCCTAATAAAAAAGAAACGAGAAAANAAAGCAAAGGATCCGAGATCTACTAGCATAAAGTTCCTCAAATGTACGTTCTCAACTCGTCACAGAGTTGATCGCTTTGACGATAAATTCCTCACCCAATACAAATGTGAAGGGATTGGAAAGGAGAGGGGTTTTAGATTTTAGATCCATGAAATTGAGACGTGAGCGTGAAGTAATTTATACCTTATAGGAACCATCTTGTTGGAGCTGACCCAATCGCTGGATCTCCTCCTTGAGCCTCCCCACTTCTTCTTCTACGTTCATGGTTTCTTCCCTCCAATGCGAAAGGAAAACTCTCTCTCTCTCCCTCTCTCTCTCTTGGGAGATATCTTTTTGTTTTGCAAGGGAGCTTCAACAGCCAAACAGTAAGGAATTTTCTATGTACCCCCCTTCAAGTTTTCACCCTCTCCGGATTGCTTGGCTTTGTAAATCAGCTGTCAAAATCTTTATAATTGCATTATTATCATATTGCAACCGGTCGGTTACAATTTTCAAGGTACCCCTAGATCGCAAAAGTCCGTATCGTTACAACTAATTTAGTCTACGCACTAAACCTGCAAGAAGCCTGGCCAGTTTTACGATAAACCCTGGAAAAGTTTGGAAACATCACTTTAACTCATCGATACGTTTATTAGTTTTCCTGAATTTATTTTCAAATAACCCTCAACTTTTAGGGAGGTTATCCGGAAAAGTTTTGGGGATGAAGTGACCCTTTCAAACTCTTGGATGTCTTGTGAAATTTAATCAACATAGTCACCATAAAAAACTGTCATTAAAGAAATCGGGTGTTTGGTTATATTTACAAGGGAGCACACCGAACCCCATGAACTTTTGGCATTTTTGCAGTAAACCCCAATAAATTTTCGAAATTACACTCCAATAACGTCGCAGAAAACCCTCAGTATCTTTTGTGTAAATTACACTAAATCCCAAATAACTTTCAAATTGCCTTTTTTATGTTGTGTTCTGGTTCTAATTAATGGGAGTTACTTGCAAAATACAAAACCTTATTGGGGGTTTTCTGCAAAGTAGAAAAATTAACGGGGTTTTAGTGTGATTTTGAAAGTTCATAGGGGCATTTTGCAGTTCGTGAAAGTGCATGGGGGTTTATTGTAATTTACCCTATTTACAATTGACACCAATGGGCTGTTTGGTTGATGTATTTGGCATTGGGGGTGGGACAGAAAGCCTGCCAAAAGAGCACTTTTGGCAGACTTTCTGCCCAAAACACCTCTAAAAAGAGGCGTTTTGGGCAGAAAGCCTGCCAAAAGTGCTCTTTTGGCAGGCTTTCTGCCTAACCCCCATTATGTGTGATCTTATGTGAATATTTCTAATTTCTCATGCAATAATCTTTCGTCCCCATGATTAGTGCACTATGATATATGATAGTAATTATTACTTGTCTTTAGCCTCGAACGTTCATTTTTACTGACATCCTTGTGATTTTTGCACAATTATATCTCTTGATTCTTTAAGTATCTTTGCCCAGAAGGCAAACATTTTAAATTTTTTCTCTATCAATTAAGACGTAAAAAAATTAATGTCTCACTGAAAAAGTATTCACTTTCTAGGCAATCCCTGAAGGATCGCTTTGATATATGTAGGCCTGTCCATCCGGCCCGGCCCGGCCCGGCCCGGAAATCCGGGCCCGGGCCCGACCGGGCCGGGTTCCGGGCTGGCCCGGGTGATTTTCCTTTTTTTTATTTTTTTTTATTTTTTTCCAAAATTTTTTAATGTTATTTAACTTATAAATTATAAAAAAAAGACAAGAAAAATAACAAAAACAATAATTTTATTAATTACTTAAAATGACATAAATTACAAATAAAAAATGATAAAAACAAATTCTTTATTAATAATTAATAAATCATTTACAAATTACAAGTACAAATTTATTTTGGAATTAATCGCATCACAATAGATAAGTAAATCCCAACTAGGTTGGCACCTACTCACCTATATCACTATCATTTGTAATTATTTCCAAAATAATTCTTTACAAATTTTAAGCTAAGATATAAAAACTACAATCTATTCTTTATATCTATCTGCTAGTCCCAATTCTTCAAATTTATCTTCAATTCCAGCCATCCGATCGATGCCTTGCGTTCGCTTCTCGTACCTCCACCAATCTTGTAGGCACATCACCGCTTGTACAGTATATGGATCCAAGCATGTCCTGTGATCGTCGATCAAACGACCTGCTGTGCTGAAGGCGGATTCCGAAGCTACCGTCGAAACCTGCACTGTTAGTAAGTCACGAACCATGGTGGAAAGTATAGGATATGAAACTGATCCATATACTTTCCACCATTGCAAAATATCTAAAGCATTTCCTTGACATCTAACTAAAGAAGCAGAAAAATATTCATCTATTTCAGAAACCTCCGATGATGACGATCCAAGTCCAGATCCACCAGTTAGCTCGGCTACCATTGCATACCTATCAAAACTTACACTTTTACCTCGGGCTCGGGATGAGCTCGAAGAAACCGAAGCAGCTGTAGACTGTTGTGTAGTTACACCATGTCTAGCTGCATACTCATCATATAAGGTTTGAAAATAATTTCTAATAACTAAATGATGAGTAGTAGCAGTAAGGATGGTTTCATCATCTAAGTCTATAACCTGATTACCATACAAGGATTGTAACAAACTTCGAATGCCAATATCCTTTAAGCATGGATCAATAAGAACCCCCAAACCAAAAATATGAGGAATAGGCCTAAAGTAGTTATTAAATTTCCTCTCCATTTCAAAAATCATAGGTCCAAAAGTAGCATCCATACGATATTTCCCAAATTTTTTTTGAATATTTAAAATTTGTAAAGCAGCTAAAGTAATGGTTGGATAATAACAGCCAGATAATAACATTGTAGCATCATAAAAAACTTGTAACATTTCATTTAAATTACATATAATTGTCCATTCATCTTCAGTTATTCCATAAGTGCTACCAGAACTAGAACTAGAAGCATAATAGTTTATAAAATCAGTTATAATGTCTTTATATTCTATTGCTACACTTAACATTGCATATGTGGAATTCCACCTATGGTCAACATCTTTTGGAATTAGTCTAGGCTTTACATTTTTTCTTTTACAAAATTGTTTCCATCTTTTAAGTCTTTGTTTAGAAGCACTATGCATGTAAGCAACTGTTCTAACCTTTTCTATCATGGGTTTAATTTCAGTAAATGCACTTTGAACAATTAAATTTAAAATATGACAGATGCACCTAATATGAAAAAGATCACCATGACATGGCAATGATAAAGATGATCTGATAAAATCAACAGCTACATTGTTATTACTTGCATTATCTAGTGAAAGAGAAAATATTCTTTGTGAAATTTCTAATTTCATAAGTTCTTCAATTATTAAATTTGCAACATTAGCACCAGTATGTGACTCTTCTATTGCAATAAAAGAAACAACTCTTTTAAACATTTGCCAATTTTCATCAATCCAGTGTGCTGTGATACATAAATATCCAGTTTGTGCTCTAGATGTCCAAATATCAGAAGTTAAAGAAAATTTACAGTTTAAATTTTTAAAATAAGAAATTATTTTTTCTTGTTCTTGCTGATAATATTTTAAAATATCACGTTGACAGGTTTGACGAGAAAATTTTTTAAATGCAGGATAAAAACCATCTCTAAACATATCTTCAAATTCATCATCTTCTACTAATTTAAAAGGAAGGTTTTTAAGAATGATAAACCTGATTACGCATTTCCTGGCTCTGGCAGCGTCATAGTTCCAACTACCGAGACTACCAGAAGAGGAGGATTGAGAAATCATAGATTGTCGGATATCACCTTGAGGAGTCTGGCATTTGTTGTGTTTATCTAAATGGCGTTTGAGGTGGTTGGTGCCGCTCTTATGATGAACTTGAAAAATCTTGCCGCACAATACACACTTAGCCTTCTGGGTGAGGATTCTACCGTGTTCATCCTTGGTGACGTCGATCTTCTCGTAAAATTTTCACACATCGGATCTTGGCCTTTTAGGAGCTCTTGGTGCAGATTCGTCGCCACCGGATTCGGGATTAACTTCGGTAGGAGTAGACCCAGTAGGAGGACTCATAGTAGGAGGACTCATTTCAGGATCAGGAGATATGTTTTGCTCTTCATAATCAGACCCGGAAGCCATTTGATGAAAGGATTAGAAAGTATAAATAAGAGAGTATAAGAGTATAAGAGAGAGTATAAGAGTATAAGAGAGAAGAGATGAGTTTTTGGTGTGAAGAAAACAAATAAAACCCCCCCTCTATTTATAGAACCAGCCCCCTAGGCAAATGACCAAAATAACCATACAAAATAGCCGTTTTTTGACCGTTTTTGGGGGCAAAACAGTCAAACCGTCGTTTTTGGCCGTTGTGGCCGGGCCGGGCCCTGGCGGCGGGCTGCCGTTTGGCCACAACGGTCACCACTGGTGACCGTTGTGGCGGGCCGGCCCGACCGTTTTGACACAACGGTCACCACTGGTGACCGTTGTGGCCGGCCGGGCTCCGGGCCCGGGCTGCCCGGCCCAGATGTTGACCCGGCTCCGGCCTGTTCCGGGCCGGGCCGGGCCCAGGCCGGGCCGGGCCAGGCAACCGGACCCGGGCCCGGAACCCGGCCCGGCCCGGATTCCCGGCCGAGGCCAGCCGGGCTCCGGGCCGGGCCCGGGCCGGCGGGTATTTTGGACAGCCCTACTCAAACCGTAGACGCCCAAAGTCCAATTATTTACTTCGTCTCAAAACCTTTATTTACTTCAGAAACCGACTCCAAATTTCATTTTCTATATCATATGGGCCTAAACGCTAGCGCCACACCCCCATTCGAATCCCTCTCGTGTCGTCACTATTCGCGAGACTCTTCTCTGAAGGCCTTTTCCTCGTTTCGTCTAGATTTAATGTAGAGCGCACATGCACTGCATGACCGTGTCCGTGTTCCCATGCCTAACCCACTCTATTAAAAAGAGAGAATATTCAGTGGGGACGGCCCATCATAGGCGTAGCCTAGCAGCTACCCAGGGTAAGAAAGTCATGTACAAAAATCACAAATACTAATTAGCATTGGCTTGTTCACTTTGATATATTATTCGAAAAAAAATGTGCACAAGTAATGATTTTGTTATCTTGATATTATATTATTAGTTCACAAGCCAACAATTTGGAACTTGTCGTTAGATGTGATCTCTTGACATAGAATCAGAATGTCAATTAGTATATTTATTTTCTCCACAGGCACAAATTTGAAAACTCCCACTAGTGTTTTAAAAGAAAGAAAAGAATTGATCATGTAATGTTTTATGTAAATATATGTACAACCTCTACAATTATTAACATACTTTATTTTTCGCCCAGGGCAAAAAAATATCCCGGCTACGCCAAT